AAGCAGTTGCGTCATAATCACGTGGCAGTCATGAGACTTTAGGTTCTGAAACTTTTTCTCTGGCATATTTATTATTCCCTTTATATTCGACGAGAAGCTAGTCGGGACCTTCATACTGAGCAGGCATTCAAAGAAGATTTATTTCTCTTCTTTCATAAGAGCGTAGCTGGCAGGACCTTCATACTGCTTCGGAGGCATGTCGTCTTTTTCGTGCAAACGTTGCAGGTCCTCCCGTGCCTCAGGTGTATCTTTTGTCTTCCCATACACGCCCAAGAAGCCTAGTAGGTTCACGCAAGGGTTCTTCGTCACGTGCATCACATCGATTGAAGAGCGGACCTCTAGGTCTTTCCAGTAGGGTAGGTCCCAAAATATAGATTTCTTCTTCCACATGGGTGTGTGTCCCTCAGCGTCATTCGGAACAGCTAGTCTGCCGGGACCCTTTCCAAAGATTACGTGTAAATCATTGACCATAGCAAGTACGTGATCACCGGTACGCATGGCGGACTTCTTTCGGTGATCTGCCTCGCCTTTGAAATGCTTGCCTTTCTTTCGACATTGATGGTTGGTCGGAAGAAATCGACGATGGTCCAGGTACACATTCTTCCTGCATTTGTCTAGGTATATACTTTTAGTTTCATCTAAACAGCGCGTGCATGCGTGGTATCCCTTGTTTGTCTGTCCTGAAAGGTTGCTGAGAGCGGGCCAATCGTTGATGGTTACAAACAGCAATGCGTGCAGGTTAAATTCCTCCTATTTGTGCTCATCCCACGTACGTACAGCGTTTCCATTCCACAACTGTAAAAGTTCTTCAACTAATGGCCTTAGGTACACATCAATGTCGTTGTCGGGTTGCTTAGGGCCTTGGATGAGAACTGGCATCATAATGAACTTCCGCTTCATGCACATCCAAGGAGGAAGGTTATATATACATAGAGTCACGGGCCAGGTGTTGTGATTGCTGCTCTGCTCCCCAAAAGGATTAATGCCATCCGCGCTTAAACCAAACCATACGTATCTTGGGTCACTTGCAAACTCAGGCCAGTACTTTCTCTCGATTTTTCTCCACTGCGACCCGTCAGCGGGTGCTCTCAACTTCCCATCTTTCTTACGGTCCTCACTGTGCCATCGCATCACCTTGGCATGCTCTTTGTTTCTAAATAGACGTTTCAACCGTGGTATTATAGGAGCATACCACATCACCTTCGCAGGAACCCTCTTCCTGGGGGGCTCGCCATCAACATCACTAGGGTCATCTCGTCTGATCTTATACCGCAATGCACCGCATACCGGGCATGCGTTCAGATCCTTGTACGCACCGCGGTAGAGGATGCAGTCATTAGGGCATGCATGTATCTTCTGCACCTCCAATCCTAGAGGGCATACGACCTTCTTTGCTGCGTATGTACTGTTGGGCAATTCGTTATCCTTTGGAAGCTTCTTCTTCAATATTTTCAGTAGCATCTCAAATCCTTTGTCAGGCACAGCATTCTCTGCCTTCCACTGCAGCAATTCCAGTACGGTACCGAGCTTTGTGTTTCCATCTTCGCAATTGGGGTACAACCCTTTTTTGTGATCCTCTAACATGCGATTGAACTTCAGCTTCTCCTTTTGACTTTCACATTGCGTTCTTGCATCGACAATGACCCGGCGGAGATCATCATCATCGGGCACATCGTCTGGTTCCTCTTGATCTTCAGCAGCTTCCCCCGTTGCAGCATCATTGGGCACATCATCTGGTTCCTCTTGATCTTCAACAGCTTCCCTCGTTGCAGCATCACCGTATTCAGGGGGCACATAGTTGTCATTGTCCTCTTCTTCTTCGTCGTCTTCCATCATAACCCCTATTTCTCCGTGCCTCGTCCAAACATTATAGTGTGGCATGAAACCCTTGTAAAGCAGGTGGGTGTGAAGGATTTTCCGGTCAGAGTAAGACTTCGTATTCCCACATTTAGGGCATGGACAACACATAAAACCATTCTGCTTGTTTGCCTCAGCCACTTCGAGAAAATCATGCACGCCCTTAATGTACTCGGAGGTGTGTCTGTCACCGTACATCCATTGCCGGTTCATCTGCGTGCATTATATATAATTAAGTGTGTCAAAAACCATTACAGAACATCATGAATAGATAATTAAGTGACCAAATTAATAGAAGTTCATCATCACATTAAAACCAAAGTACATACAGAGTTCTCATCTAACAACATATAGCTCTCCAGAACATCTAATTAATTAAACCATACATTGAAACTATGTAAAACATTTCAATGCGAAAACAAATGCGATCATAATCGCAACCAAGGTAACAATTGATCCAACGGCATAATGATACCAAGCCTCGGTATGAATGGCATATTTTCTAATCTTTCTAATCTTCAAGCGCATTGCATCCATCTTAATCTTGTGATCATCGACGACATCCACAACATGCAACTCCAATATCATCTTCTCCTCCTCAATTTTTTTATTTTTTCCTTCAAGTAATTGTTTTCTTCTTCAACTAAATTTAACCTCTTGACAATAGGGTCGGTTGGAATTTCCGGTTCAACTACCTCCTACATAAATAAAATCTATGTCACGTTGGTCGACATAATTGTCATAAACAATAAATGAACCAAATAGTTATAAAAAGATAATATATACCACATCCGAATCATAGACAGGACGAGGGCCGACGGGGGCGGATACCAAAACCATCGCACTATATAATAACAAGCAATAAAATAGTAAGAAAATTAGACAAGTATCTATCTAAAGTAAGAATTTTTTTTTCTTTCAGAAAGAAGATAAGAACAAGAGGCTCACCACGGTGGTGCCGGCGACGAGATCGGCGCGGGTGATCGACGGTGGTGAAGACGGGAATGGGACGTGACGGGCCGCTAAACCTAGACAAATCTCGAGGAAAATGAAGTTTTGAGGTCGAGCTTCGACAGGAGAAAGCTTAGCTAGTGTGGCTCGGGCATTTCATCGAACACCTCATGTGCATAGGAGGTGAGCTAGAGCACCACAAAGCCCTCCCCTCGCCGGCCAGAGAAAAATAGAGCTCTGGAGTGCTCTGCTCGTGGGTAGGCACCTCATTGGTCCCGTTTCGTGGCATGAACCGGGACTAAAGGGCAGCCTGTGGTCCCGGTTCAAGCCACCAACCGGGACCAATTGTGGTGGGCCAGGAGCGAGGCCCATTGGTCCCGATTCGTCCCACCAACCGGGACCAAAGGAGCCAGACGAACTGGGACCAATGCCCCCACGAGGCCCGGCAGGCCCCTGGCCTCACGAACCGGGTCCAATGCCCCCATGGGTCCCGGTTCTAGACTGAACCGAGACTAATGGGCTGACCCGGCCTGAACCAAAACCCTCTTTTCTACTAGTGGTAGATCCGGCAGATGGACACCACGCGGTGTCTAGATATGGCAAGGCTGAGGCCGCTTGAGAGGTTCAAGACCCGGGGCCTTGAGATCTGGAATGAGTACTGCTAGAACGACCCACGGTCCACGGCCATCACCCTCCGCTCGCACAAGGGAACGACCATCACCATCCAGTGTCGCTTGTCGTGGAGGGGTGTCGCCTTCTCCACCCGTGGCAGTCACCTCGTCTTCTTGAGCCTGCACTAGAGATTATAGGGGGCATATCAGGTGCAGCCCCTCAGGTGCTCCCATGATACAAACTCCCGTGGGGCGGTTGGATATGAGATCCCAAGGTTACCAGCCGAGATGTTGGACTTGCGTGCAATTATTTGCCTCCTGGAGTTCTTTTTTGCGATTTTGCCGAAGCTCCTCACATGACCCTTGGATCTCAAATCCAGCGGTTCACAGGAGCTTGTATTATAGGAGCACTTGAGGGGCTAGAGCACCTGATATGTACTCGAGAGCGGACAGCAGAGTGACGAGGACCTCACTGCCACCTTCATCGATGGCAATACAGTTTCCCGATAGGCTCCTCTGGCGGCAACGAGGGAGAGGGACAAAGGGCGGGGCCTGCCGGAGGCTAATGTTTGGTTGTCGCCCCGACGAGAGCGACGTGGACCCGAAGGGGTATCGTGGTCACGAAATAGTAGTGTGGTGGGTGCTTAGCAATTAACAGAGAGATAAGATGATAAATACACACCTCAGATGAGGAGTTGCCGAAATGGGCCGAGTTAAGTAGGAGCGAAGGAACCCCAACCAGGTATAGCCCCACGAAGTTTCCAGGAAAGAGCCGCAGTTACCACTTTACCACACTGTCTTAATGGAGGCCGTGTACATATGCTTCCGTTTCTTGTTTCTTGTGACACTCTAGCTAGGCCGATCGTGTGTACAAATGTCACTAGACAGTCCAATCTTCTCCAGCTAGCAGCGTGAAAGCATTCCTCTCCTCAGTAGACGCCTCGCCACGCACACCTTTGGAACAATGTGATAAAAGGGAACCATTTATGTAGTGCGGCCACAAGAAGCACGGTTGGTAGCAGAGGACAGACCATGGCACGCCACCGATTTGGCATCCAAACAAGGCTCATTACCACGCACCTCTCATCATCTCCCATTTTCACCACGGCCGCCATTGATGCATGCCCAATCAAGCTTTCGTCCAGTTGTCTCCGCTGTCAAAGAGGCGAAGAGCGGGACGGGCCACCAGCTAAGCAGCGCACAAATAGCATCCCGTCACAAATTGCATGCATTGATTCACCCCACTCGAAAAAATACAGCATTAACTCATTGTCGTAGTAACATTATTAAGCATTTCCATATCCTGCTGCATGCACACCCACCCACCCTTCGTGCGTGCGTATCTCCGTGTACAGTGGCGTGCGCGCGCGTCTGACGACGTGTCCCCACCTCGTATCGCCTCTCGCACGGTGGTTCTGGCTCCGGCCGGACCACGTGAGGCTCACGCGGCAGCTTCATCGTAGTATATCTAGGGGCCTGGCCTAAACCCTTCCTCCCCCTCTCCATACACCAGCGGCCCAGCGAGCGACACGGGAGGAGCGCGCGCGGTAGTAGTCCTTCCCCGGCGCGCAGCGGTGCACCATGGCGTCCACCGGAGCCGTCCCCTGCTCCGTCCTCCCCCTGCTGCTCCTCTGCGCGTTCCCGCTGTGCCAGGGCCAGGCCGGACGGCACAACATCACGGAGATCCTCGCCGCCGCCAGCCCGGACTTCACCCAGTTCAGCGCCGCCCTGGCCGGCGCGAACCTCAGCGCCGAGATCGACGCGCGCAGCCCCGTCACCGTCCTCGCCGTCGACAACGCCGCCGTGGCGCGGCTCGCGGAGCGGCGCCTCCAGCCGGACGCCCTCGCGCGCGTGCTCTCCCTGCACGTCCTCCTCGACTACCTCGGCGACGCCAGGCTCCGCACCCTCGACGGCGGGTTCAGGCAGGCCGCCAGCCTCTACCAGGCCCACGGCGCGCCGGGGGCCGCCGGCATCGTGAACATCACGCGGGGCGGCAAGGACGACCACGTCTCGTTCCGGCCAGCGGAGGGGGTGAACGGGACAGCCGCCGTGTTCTACGTGAAGTCGGTCAAGGAGGCGCCCTGGGACATCGCCGTGCTGCAGGTGAGCGACGCCATCTCGTCCTTCACCGCCGAGGCGAAGGTGCCCACGCCGCCGGCCCCGGCCCCGGCTCCTGCTCCCAAGGCGCCTGCGCCTGCGCCTGCTCCTCTGGCGTCGGTCGTGGCCCCTGCACCTGCTAAGGCCCCGGCGGCCCTGCGTCCGTCGCCAAAGAATCACACCGCGCCACCGCCGAAGCCGGCCAAAGAGCCCGTGCCTTCCCCAACGCCCGTGGTGGAGACGCCGGCGGAAGAACCTGGGGCGGACGGAGACCAGCCGCCTGCCGACGAGCACAAGAGTGGCGCCAGCGACTCGGAGCCGTGGAGCCTCGGCGCGGTGGTGGCGGTGGCCGTGCCGGTCGTCGTGTTTCTGCTGTGGTGAGCAATCTGTGCTTGGAATGAATGCCCGCTGTCAGGGGCGCTGGATCCCGCGATTAGTGCTCGCTCTTACCCGATGGAAACAGTGGTTAATGAGCGCTGGTTATCGCTGGCAGATTTGAGCAGAATAATTGGACGATGCTCGCGTTTAGTCAAGGAGTGCATGGCTATGTTTGAATTGTTGCTAGTAATTTATTTCTGCGTTGCATGGACCGAGCTCTAGACTTTCCGATGAATCTTGCAAATCCACCTTTTTCTTTTCTTTGAGGGATCTTGCAAATCCACCTTTGTAAAACAAGGAAGAACACCCATTTAGCAAGGGGGTCTATCGACAAAATTCAAACCTACTCTTGCACGATCACATGGAAACCGATCGATCCAACCGCATTAGTTCATCACATAGGAAATGTTTACTTTTACGGAAATGATGTATAGTGTACGTTCTCTGGAAGCCGATCTCTCGTGCGGCCAATCCCAGCCACAAATCTCAACACGGTGACAATTGCGGCGGGTGCATTGTTCGTTCCATTGCACCCCCTGCGCAAAGCACACAAACCTTTCGATCCCTGTAGCAATCTGAGGGAACAACGCAAGCCCCGTCTTATCCCTTACTCTTCCCCTCAAAATCACATCCGGATGGCAAATTCTTTATCTAGCACATCCTCCAAACTAGCATGGACTGATCATCAATCTCACCACACTACCACAGGCACCAAACTAGCATTCAACTGACATGGAAAACATTTACATCTACCAAAACACTATGAGCATCATCATTAACGACAATCAAAACCTATCATACTACCAAAACGGCATCACTAGTATCTGTTCTACCACATCCTCACACACCATCATGAAGCAATAGTCTAATCTACCACATACTCACATATCTAAGCTACAACAAGGTCACAGATCTACTCTACAACGAGTAGGGAGTGATGTTACTTATAGCCATCGGAGTAGCGAGGCGGAGTCGTCAATGAACAACTCGGAGAAGAGGAGGAAGAAGAATCGCCATTGCCAACCATCGTCGACCGGAGAAGATGGCGCAACTTACCTACTTGTCGATGAAGAAGAACCCTAGGAGGGAGTGCTCGAAGGGGAAAGGGAAATGACGGCGCGGGTTCAGACGGTGAGCCGAAGGTAGGTAAATAGGGCGAGCAGTCGACAGGAGATGACCGTATTACTCCCATCGATTTTTTGGGGACGCCTGCAAGCATGTGTCATCTTCCTATTCATGTGAGCTCAGCATCGCGTTGCCCCTACTTGCACGAGACGAGTCTGGCTGAGTGGAAACTAACAATTATATTGTTACTCGGAGGCCTAACTAAGAGGTGCTTTGAGATTCGCGTGAGCCAAGATTTTGATGCAACCTACCTGACCAAACGGTCCAAAATTACATCCATGCACCTAACCAAACACGTCCATAGCGGCGCTTGAGACAAGACGAGAAGCGGCACGACTCACAGCTCGACGGCGGGGCAGGTGAGTTGCCTCTACGCCCTACTCCTTCTATCTTCTCTCCAGCGAGCCTCAGGATGTCCTCATGCACCCTCTCTCCCAGCGCCATTCTACTTCGTCCTCTTCACCCCCCCGGGTTGATCACTAGATGATGACGAAGAACATAGGATTCTTGAAGATGCCAGGTCCCCCACCTCTCAGCGTCAAAATGATCACTAGGTGCTGAATTTTTAATGGGAATAACTCAAAAGACGGATCAACATCCTATAGGGTGGACATGGTGGGTCACTAATTGAGGTGCGCTTCTTCGGGAGCCTCCCCAAGAGCCACTTGGGGTGGGAAGAGAGCGAGCGCGCTCTCTGCCACCGCTACCTGCCGTGCTCTAGGCACTGCCTCCAAATTTTGTTTTTTATTTTGCTTTTTCACACACATTTTTGGCTTTTAAGGGTTTTTTGGCTTTTCAGTTTTCTACCATTTTTTCTTAGCTTTTCGACAAAAAAAAGTTGTGCAAAAAAACGTTTTTCTTTTGCTTCCGCGAGAGGAAAGGTTTTACTTCTGCGAGAGGTATGGATTTGCTTCCACGAGAGGCACGACCGTGCTTCTCGGAAACATAAAAAGGCGTCTTTCCTAAATAAAAAAAATCTTTCGTGGGAGGCACGGCCGTGCCTCACGGAAACGAAAAAAATGTATTTTTCTCTTTTTTTGTCCTTTCGTGAGAGGCACGGTTTTGCTTTCACAAGAGGCGCAAGCGTGCCTTTCGGAAAGAATAAAGTGCTTCCGGTTCGGCTTTTTGTTCGAGTTTTTTTGTGAAAAAAGTTTGCCATAATCTATCAATATGTGATCTAGTATTGAAGATCTCGACGCGAGAAATTCAATGGTGAAAAAGATTTGAGATTTGAATGCACGGTTTAAGAGATAAAACATTTTAAATAAACGGATCTACGAAAAAAAAACTCTCAGGTTGCAACAAGTGACACACATGCAGCGTGTCACTTGTCGCAATCCGAAGAGGGTGGAAGTGATCTTTGAAAGAAATGCTCCTCAATTAGTGATTTCGTGGGTCGTGGCCCACCCTGGAATTTTAAACCGGCCTATATCATAGAAAATTACATATAGACCAGAAAAGAAAACAAGGCCCAACATCAATCTCCCGACCCATCTCAGCCAGCTAGCCCAACAAACATTCTCAAAAAAAAAAAGAAGCTAGCCCAACAAACAACGCACGCAGGCACACTGGGACAGACAAAAAAAACTGGGACAGACGCACCGAGCCCCTACTCGCCCTCTACCTCGGCCGCTCGGCTCCTGATCTCGCCGGCTCGCCGCTTACCTCGCCGGACGCCATCGCCCGTCGCTGCCTGCCTCGCCGTCGCTAGACGCCAAGGAGGCGCCCCTTCCCGGAGCTCGGCGCTACCGCGCCCCCTTGGCGCCCCTGCAAACCGGCGCCTGCCGCCCAGTCCGCTGTCCGCCGATTCCGGCACTCGGCCGGCTGCAAGCCAGCAACCCTGCCCAGTGGCCAGCCTTTAGCCCGATTTGAGGACTTGAGGCAAGTTTTCCATTGCGCCACTTCCCATTCCCCAATTTCTGATTTAGGGTTTGCTCTTTGCTGTCTATTGCATTGGAAAGTGCCTCAAATTCCCCAATTTCCTCGTGCCTTCGCCCACCGAGTGGTCAACCAGCCAAAGACCATGTGGCGCCGAGCCGGACCGATCTGCCTCCACCTCGCCGGAATCGCCGGCCGCCGCATCCGACGACCCCCACAGCCTCCTGCTCCCACAGCCACCTGCTCTAGCTCCGCCTTCGCTTCATCCTCTTTCCACCACAATCTTGGAACCTTTCGGGATTCCATCGGAGTTCCTCCCTCTCGAAGCCTATCGAACCAGGCAGGAGGTGATGGCGGCATTGGCGGCGAGTGCTGGAGTTGTGGCGCCAAGGGGGCATTCCTCTCCTGCGGGTCCTGCAGGAGTGTGCAGCCCGTTGATCCTGCGGTCGACTACTTCCGAATATTTGGCCTGTGAGTAGCAACCTTCCTGAACCTTCCATCTTTTGTTGCGTGTTTGTGGGCAATCAGACCATATTTGCCTGTGTGCTGTGTCTTTTGCTGAATTTGCTGTTATTCTAGTTTTGAAACAACTTTATTTATTTTCTTGTGAGAAATGCTGCATCTGGTGTACCGTACTTAACAAATATAATTTATGAGCACACCTGAATTTGCTGCATTATGATGTTAATATACTGGAATTTTGGCTGGTACTCTTTTGAACTTTCGTGTTCCCCATATATCAGCAAGCAAAATAATAAGGCATGGGACTGGTTGATGAATGAACTTTTGTGTGTGGCACAACTTTCTACCTATGATAATAACTGGATGCATATCTTCTGTTGGAATTGTGTCGAATATTTTTACAAGTCAGGTTAAGTTTGGACTTGGATTTGTATGGTGTGTAGATAGGGTGTGGAGTCGTGTTCAAGGACACTTGTATCCTAGGCCTCCTATAACCAATGCCAAAATAATAGCACAGGTGCACGACGGATCTGATGGCATGTCGGTGCCCGGGTGGTCTGGTGTTGGTATTGTAGCCTTTGTTGAGGAAATCGTTAACTGGTAGCTGTTCGGTCGGCTGGTGAGTAGGGGATTAATAGGCTAATCGGCAAGTTAATCGGCCATTTAATCAATTAATCGGACGATTTATCGGGTAATCGGCTACTCGGGGACCCTATGAGTAGGGATTAATCGGCAAGTTAACTGGTTAATCGGATGAATTCTTGAACAGAGTAGCGGTGTCAGCAGGGAGGAGCGCCCGTAGTCATGCCCCGGGGTTGTAGCCGAGTTCGGTGAACCTTGTTAACAAATCTCGATGCCGTGCCTCGTGTGTGATTGCTTGTCCTCAGAAAATCGACTTTGAGGATTGGATTTTCAAACATCTTCAGCCGCTCCGTGCACTTGTCAGTTCCTGTAATGCTACAATATTGTACCATTTGCTTCATCTTAAACATCACTCGCTCACGTCTTAATAATCATATCATTGATTCATCTCCCTTAAAATGATTTCTTGAAAGATCCTAACATTGCAAACATTGTTCATTCTAGTATAGTAACACCCACGGCTTAAACATATAGAACAGTGGTTAAAATTTTAACTGGTTTCTGTAGGGACAGAGGATATGACGTAAAGGATACCAACTTAGAAGGAAAGTACAAAGACTGGCAGAAGAAGTTACATCCTGACCTTGTTCATTCTAAATCAGAGGTAGAGACTGACATCCTTAGCAAAAGTTGGATATTCCCATTTTAGTTTGAGCCTTCAAACCTCTCCTGATATGGCTTGTGTCTCTTGCAGAAAGAGAGAGATTTTGCGGCCGGGCAGTCAGCACTTGTCATTGAGGCATATCGCACACTGAGCAAACCTTTACCAAGGGCATTGTACTTGGTAAGTTGCTCCAGTGGTGTTCTTAAGTTTCACTGATGCAGAAGTGTTCAACCGTAAAAGCTTGACGTAATGATGTGTGGTTTGTTGGGCCATCCCAGCAGCTGTTATGGTTATATTGAGTTTTTCTTTCGTTGACTTACATAAGTAAATATGAAATTACATCTTACTGCCAAAACGCTTTTCAACCATACCAAACCATTTGGCAGCTGCAACTTGAGGGGATACACGTTGATGAGGAGAAGACTATCAATGATCCAGAACTTCTTATGGAGGTAAAACAATCTCCCCCTTTATGCTTTTGCATGCAGCCAACAAAAATCATCAAATTCTGCTTTCATATAGTTTACTTCCAATAGCTGCAAGAAGAATTAATTATTTTATATTACCAAGAAAATATATCTCGGCACATGATCACTCTGAAGAAAACTATACTTTCATTTAACTTGCAGATGATGGAGATACGCGAAGCAGTTAGCGAAGCCGGTGATTCGCAAACTCTGAAGAAGATCCAATCTCAGGTTCTTCTGAACATGATTACACCATGCCATTATCCCCAATGGGGAAGCAGAATTGGCTCACATTGTATGTAACCTTTCCCAGATGAAGAGTAAGCTCGAAACCTGGGCCAAATCCTTCCAGGAAGCGTTCAACAAGAGGGACTTCGACGGCGCCGTGGAAGCTACACAGAGGATGAGATACTATGAACGTGCTATGGAAGAAACTGTGAAGAAGCTTTGATCTTGGCCCCGACTGGGAGCCATGTAGATTGTTACGCCTTCAAGAAAACTAGACAGGGTCCACGGCGCCGGGAGTCTGGTGGCTGACATGCGCTTGTAAGCTGGTTGCAGGTCTGTTGAGGCATCCTGAGAGGCAGAGTCCGTACTACGTAGTTTGACTGAATAAAGTGACTCTGTTTTTATACGTTGTTTTCCTTGCGTTACCTGTGTTGTATCCTGGTTGGCTGGTGTGGCCGTGGGAAAATTGTACTGCAGACAAAATACTGTGCTGGTTGCTTTTCGTGCGCGTACCGAGGGCAGATCAGGGAACTGTAGCTATCCCTGATTTTGCTTCGTACGTACGTCAGAGGATCTGCATCCCCTGAATAAACCTGATCATATGCCGGGCCGGGCCAGGTTTTGGGCTGGGCTTGAAAAAGCCTGAACCCCGGACTGGCCCGAAGCCTGAAAATGTCCCTTTTCTCAAGTGGAGACTGGCTCGAAAACAAGACTGAAAGCCTGCCTCGAATGCTGTTTTTTAGAACAGTGTACACATGTAAGGCCAGCTCCAAAACCTGACCTGAAATGCTGAAAAACTGAAGCCCGAGCCTGGCCCAAATGCAGTTTCGGCTGCAAAATGGAGCCTGGGCACGACTCAAATGGCAAGCCCGACTTAGCCTGGCTTGATTTTTTTGGCTGAGCTCGGGACTGGTTGTCGAAGAACATGTTTGTACCGGTTTAGAGATCACCGCAAGTTGCCAAGATCTACGAGTTCTGAGAAACTTAGTTCAAGGAGAACAATGTGAGGACTATTGTGCCGTAAGAGCGCTAAGCCTCTTCAACCAAGACGTATAACCAAGCAAAGGTTACTCGTGCGGTGCACATACAGGCTGGTTTCGCCATTAGCGATGAATTGGATTTTGAATAGTTTGAATTTGGGTAAACAAATCATTGTGTCTTCACCAAGCTTACGAGTTACAATTCCTTGAAACATGTACTTTGAGTACATTGTTGTGTTTTGAAGAATTCTTCTCTCTGTCCTCTCTGTGACTTCTGTGAAGACTTATCAAGTACTTCCATTCCATTACTTAATTTTGTTAAGTTATGTACTCGTTATTGGTTTTGAGAATTGTGTCTTCTTGCTAGTTTAGTTTAATTGCTTAGTGTTTCTCTATTTACTAGTATCTTACTAGCTCGCTCCTGTCTACTTTTGTTACTACCTCCATCTGGTTTTCTTAGGCCCCCTCGTATTTAGTTCAAATTTTGACCATCTATTTGACTAATAAAATATAAAGCATATGCTAAAAGAATATGTTAATGGATTTTTATTCGGAATAGGTTTTCACTGATATAATTTTCTGACATATAGTTTACATTTTATTAGTTAAATCTATTGTCAAATGTTAGCCCAAAATAAGAGGGGGCCTAATAAATTCGGACGGAGTAGTAGTTGTTTTCATTGCATGCTCCTAAGTTTAGCTTTCTACTTTTCTAGAATTCACCATTTCTGCTTAGTTGGAGTTCTGTTATTCAACTGTTCTTCGAAGAACTTTTCTTTTTCAAAGAATATATTTAAAATACCCATTCACCCTCTCTAATTGTATACTTTGAACTTATAATTGGTATCAGCGTAGGATACTTCCTTTGTCTCTGTGATTTGGTTTAACCATCTGACCACCATCGCACCCACAGATCCAACATACGCCAATAGTCTCACTGCTCGTCATCCACTCGACGACCAATGTCGTGCTCGGTGGGTCACCGCCCGGCTTACTACGGTGGCACGATCGTTGGGACACTAGCGGCGGAGAACCTCCCCACCACCAATAGGGTTTGCCGCCAGCGCAACGGAGAAGCAGAGGGCTAGGGTTAAAACTCCCGACTCCTATTTGGCGCCTTAAGCGCCGGTTAGAGTGTATTTTACTAACCGGCACACACCCCCTCTAGGTATCTAGATGGGCCGGCCACTTTAGTGTTTTGCTCCACCAGTTTTTCCCATTTTGTTTCCTTTTTTCCTTTTTTGTTTCCTCCTTTTTCTATCTTCCTTTTTTTGTTTATCAAATTCGTGAACTTTTTCCAATTTTTCAAACTTATTTTCAAATTTGAAAACCTTTTTATGTTTGTTGTGAATTTTTATTTCAAATTCATGAACTTTTTTCAAATATTTTTTGAACTTTTCTTTTCCAAATTCATGATCTTTTCCGTTTTGTGAACTTTTGCCAAATTACAAATTTTCCAAATTCATGATCTTTTCTCAAATTTTGAACTTTTAAAACTTTTATGAACATTTTCAAAAAATAACTTTATTGAAATTTCATGAACTTTCTAAAATTTATTGAACTTTTATAAAAAAAATGTGAATGTTTCCCTTTTTTAAGTCAATGGCTGACTCTCTGAGGTCAACAGTCGCTGGTGGACCGGTTAACGATCAATGGTCGCATAGGCTCATCAGTCAACCCATTAAAAAACATAGCTGGTCGACCCATACTGTGTTGTGCGTGAACGCCAGTTACCCTAATTGACACAAAATTAAACTGAAAATTTTTAGCTGCGGTGGACTGGCAAATTCTATTAAAATTAATCCCGTTAAGGGCGCTGAGGGCGCTTAAGCAGTCTGGAGAGCGAGGAAGAATAAGATCAGGGTATTGACTTACAGCATCGGAACCGTTCATACGGAGTTTGCAGCGATGAGCAGGATCGCAAACGAGTATTTCCATAATATATTTGCTGCAGACACTACCTTGAATGCATCTGAAGTAGTAAGTTTGTTTGAACGAGTGGTGACGCCGGCTGATAATGACCAGCTGTGTGCGCCGTTTACGGACAAGGAGATCTCCGATGCATTGTTTCAAATTGGGCCTTTGAAGGCACCAGGCCTAGACGGCTTTCCCGCTCGTTTCTTCCAGCGTAATTGGAGCACGGTGAAGGAGGGAGTGCTGGCTGCGGTCAGGAATTTTTTCCAGTTCTGGTGTTATGCCTGAGGGTGTTAAATGATACATCAATTGTGCTCATCCCAAAAACATCTAACCTCTCAAGGATGTCTGACTATAGGCCAATAAGTCTTTGTAATGTCACCTACAAGGTAATTTCAAAGTGCCTTGTTAACAGATTAAGGCCCTTGCTGGATGATATAATCTATGTGGAGGAAAGTGCATTTATACCAGGCAGGATTATTACAGACAATGCTTTGGTTGCCTTCGAGTGCTTGCATTATATTAAACAAGAGAAGGATCCCTCAAGGAGTTTTTGTGCATATAAGTTGGACTTGTCAAAAGCTTATGATAGAGTTGATTGGGCTTTCTTGAAGCAGGTGATGCAAAGGTTAGGGTTCTCTCATCGATGGATGCTACCTCTTGAGCACTGCGTTGGTTTTCCCTTAAAGAGGAAAGGATGATGAAGTAAAGTAGCGTAAGTATTTCCCTCAGTTTTTGAAAACCAAGGTATCAATCCAGTAAGAGATCACGCTCGAGTCCCATGCACCTACACAAACAAATAAGAACCTCGCAACCAACGCGATAAAGGGGTTGTCAATCCCTTCACAGTCACTTACGAGAGTGAGATCTGATAGATATGATAAGATAATATTTTGGTATTTTTATGATAAAGAGAAATAAAGATGCAAAGTAAAATAAACGGCAATAGAAATAGCTAAGTGTTGGAAGATTAATATGATGGAAGATAGACCCGGGGGCCATAGGTTTTACTAGTGGCTTCTCTCAAGAGCATAAGTATTACGGTGGGTAAACGAATTACTGTCGAGCAATTGATAGAATTGAGCATAGTTATGAGAATATCTAGGTATGATCATGTATATAGGCATCACGTCAGTGACAAGTAGACCGAAACTCTTCTGCATCTACTACTATTACTCCACACATCGACCGCTATCCAGCATGCATCTAGAGTATTAAGTTCATAAGAACAGGGTAATGCTTTAAGTAAGATGACATGATGTAGAGGGATAAACTCATGTAATATGATATAAACCCCATCTTTTTATCCTTGATGGCAATAATACAATACGTGTCATTTCCCTTTCTGTCACTGGGATCGAGCACCGCAAGATTGAACCCAAAGCTAAGCACTTCTCCCATTGCAAGAAAGATTAATCTAGTAGGCCAAACCAAACTGATTATTTTGAAGAGACTTGCAAAGATAACCAATCGTACATAAAAGTATTCAGAGGAGATTCAAATATTGTTCATAGATAATCTGGATCATAAACCCACAATTCATCGGATCTCGACAAACACACCGCAAAAAAAGATTACATCGAATAGATCTCCAAGAGAATCGAGGAGAACTTTGTATTGTGATCCAAAGAGAGAGAAGAAGTCATCTAGCTAATAACTATGGACCCGAAGGTCTGAAGTAAACTATTCACACATCACCGAAGAGGCCATGGAGTTGATGTAGAGGCCCTCCGTGATCAATGCCCCCTTCGGCGGAGCTCTGGAAAAGGCCCCAAGATGGGATCTCTCGTGTACAGAAGGTTGCGGCAGTGGAATTAGGTTTTCGTGGTGCTCCTGTATGTTTGGGGGTACGTGGATATATATATAGGAGGAATAAGTAGGTCGGTGGAGCAACGAGGGGCCCACGAGGGTGGAGGGCGCGCCCCCCTGCCTCGTGGCCTCCTCGATTATTTCTTGACGCCCACTCCAAGTCTCCTGGATCACGTTTGTTGAGAAAATCACGTTCCCGAAGGTTTCATTCCGTTTGGACTCCGTTTGATATTCCTTTTCGGTGAAACTCTAAAATAGGCAAAAAACAGCAATTTGGGTTGGGCCTCCGGTTAGTAGGTTAGTCCCAAAAATGGTATAAAATGTAAAATAAAGCTCATTAACATCCAAAATAGATAATATAATAGCATGGAGCAATCAAAAATTATAGATATGTTGGAGACGTATCAAGCATTCCCAAGCTTAATTCCTGCTCGTCCTCGAGTAGGTAAATGATAAAAAAGAATTTTTGATGTGGAATGCTTTCTAACATATTTTTCAATGTAATTTTTCTTTATTATGG